TTATTTGTTTGTTTGTGTACATGGGTAGATGTGAGTTTGTATAGCAAGCATGGGAAAGCCAGAGGACAAGTTTCTACCATGCAGGTTCCAGACATTGAATTCAAGTCTTTGGGCTGATCCAAAAGTGCTTTTACACACTGAGCCATCTTTCTGGCCCAGAATTTGTAGTCTTACCTGTAAGTTTCTCAAAATAATGCAAGTAAATACTAATAAAATATACTTTGTTTACAATATGTCTTGAAAGCGTATGAAAGGTGGAGTCCTATAAGACACTTCAAGGTCTGGTCTGGTTCCCATGCCATCAATGTACCCAGGTGATCTTTTTAAAAATGAAACAAAAGAGAAAATGGAGTTAGATAGGTAAGAAGGTGGAGATCCTAAGAGGAGTTAGGGAAGAGGGAAAACATGGTTAAAGTTAGTATTTAAAATGTTTCATGTGAAAAAAGAATTGAGCTAGGAAAATGGCAAAGCCGATCAAGGCACTTGCCCCAAGCCTGAGGGTCTGAGATCGGTGGGAGGAGAGAACCACTCCTGAGAGTTGTCCCCCGACTTCAGACACAAACAGACACAAAAATAACAATTTTTAAATGTTGAATCCTTATGAAAAGATATGTTCAGAAATTTTGGCATACTTAAATACATAAAAGTTTATAAATCCCTCTTGTAACATGTGCGTGCGTGTATAACATATGTTTGTGTGTGTACATGTTTATACTTTTGTCCAGCTCTTCATGTTCATCTTGACATTAATGCCTGTGCCACGTCTAGAGCCACTTTGAGTCATGTCTATGGCAGGACATGCAGCACAGCCCTGAGAAGAGGGCAGGCTGGCGGGTGGAGTGCCCTGATTGACTTCAGGTAGACAGTGATCTGCTGTATGGCACGGTAGCCAGAAGAGTAACTCGCTGTGTTTCATCCCTTTGCAAAATAAGTCCAGTGTACTTTAAAGTAAATACGGCATTGGTACTGTGAGTGTTTTATCTTTAGCCAAATGCCTACCTGACAGTAGTTAGGGCGGTTACAGGGCACCTGAAGTGCGAAAACCTTTAGGGGCTCCAGCAGTGAGGGCCGGGGTGCGGGTCAGTGATGGAGCGCTGGCTTGCCGTGAGGCCCACGGTTCATATCCCGTCACTGCAGTATAAATAAAATAACTCCAGGTTTGGAACCTTACTCTCTTTATTTTAAAACTTTGAAAGCACAACTTCTGGAAAGAATAATGAAAACCATAAATTGTTGGATGAATGACTGAATTCTTGAAATCATGTCTTAACTTTTACTCTTTTGTGAGTCGGGATATGAAAGTGGTTGCTATCATTAACTCCGTTGTTAAACGCCCACCGTGTTCCCAGGGCTGGGCTTCACATGCACCTTCTGTGAACTAGCGTCCACTACCTGCCTGCGAGGGAATGTTGGGAAGTCCCACTGTGCACAGGTGTTTTCCTGCTCTTGTCCCTGGTATTTAGTGTTCTTACAGCTCGTGCTCCAGCTACAGAAACTGATTTTGAAAGTGGGGGGGGGGGGGCTGGTTTTAAGACATGCGATGTCAGAAAAGAGGTCACATTCCTGTAGGAAAAATGGTGCAGACCCCCTTAAGGAGACAAAGCTTCAACACTTTGTGAAGTTTGCATATCTGTTACTAGAGATCACAAGAATTTTCCGATGCAAATTCCATCTTGGAGGGGCGTTCTTATTGGTAGTCCTTTGCCATTTTAGTAAATGTTTACTGTTTAGTCCTACCTTATTTCAGAGTGGCCTTCAGTAGTCTACGTCATGAATGTTTTAGGTTATGAAACTGAAAAGAATTTAGGATTTATAGAAGTGTCAGTTTTTGGCTCTACAGTGATGAAAATATAGTTGCAATTAAACAAATTTAAAATAATTTTGAATGAAGAAGTACTTTGAAGGTAAGGTTAAACAAGATGAAATGATTCCTGGGCGTTTTACAACGCAGTCTTGATTTCAGGATGCAGTGTAGCGTGTTCTTGTGAGATCAGGTACTGTGGGGCAGCTAGCACTGCCTTTCTGTGGCAGCAGCGGAACACAACCTCTTTCTGTCTGCACTAACACTGCCTCGCCACCACAGCCCACTCTAAGTAATTAAATCAGTCCTTTGTACTTACCGTATTCTCCTCTAGTGACGGTACTAGATCTGATTATATGCTTCATGCATATTCAAAGTACCGCACTGACAGCTCTTTAATGAGCTCTTACTTAATCAGTATGAACAATGTTCATCTTGTTCTTTTTTTCCTCATGCATTAGAGCTAGGAACAGTTGGGAAAAATGAAACATCCAGCATTCATTTGAAAAATATATTGTACTTTGAAAAGTGTCTAAGCTGAGGAAGTTGCATTCTGCCCTTTAAAAGTCTGATGGACAAATTGGATTACTAGTATTGGATTAAATAACAAATGGTTAGAGGAGAAATGAGAAAAGCTCGCTGTGATCAGAGGCTTTAATATTTTTTGTTGCTTATAAAGCTAAAGGGGTCTTTAACCAGTTATTAAAGTCAGGATTAATTTGTAATGGTTCAACTTGCTGGCTTTTAAAAGCTTTTAAATTTAAAATTTTTAAGTCCCTATAAACAATAGTGTAGGAATATGTTAAAAGAAACTTTAAATTTTTATTATTAGGCTGACTGTAGATTTCCATCACTCTATACTACCTTAGATAAGGATTAGTGATATAGAATTGATTTATGTTTTTTTCAATGACTAGAAATGAGCTGTGTAAGTGTGCCTTTAAATATTTGCTAGGCTTATTTCCTTTTGAAATATAAGGTTCTTTTATTATTAGTTATTTTCTAAGAATTATGAGGATATCTTTGGTTCTTACCTGGAGATACAGACATGAATTAAAGAGGAAATAACACAGTTCCACATCGATATTGTTAGACTCAGGAAGCAGTGTTCCGTCGAAGAAAATGATGCCAGTGTCAGAGAAGGCTGGCCGCGTCTAGCATGGCCTGAAAGCCTCAATTATAGGTTAAGTTAAACTCAAAACAAAGTTTTCCTATGTCTGTATCTTTAGAAGGCACCTGAATTATGAACACAAGAATTGGGTCTTTAATCAGAAAATGAGATATCATAAAATCTACACCTATTAATATTACACACATGTGTCATTTCACTGATCAAAACGCTTTCATGGGGAACAATTGGCCCTTTTCCAAACTGCAAGCTTTTTCTCAGCTTTTTCTTTTTACTCTTTCTTCTTTTGTTGCTACCCAGGGATTTGTGCCTATCGCAGCCTGTATCACATGACCAGTGTCAAGACATCACATGGTCCAAAGTGAATACAAAACCAGCTACCCTACAGGAGAGATTAAAAATACTGTAAAACAATAAAGACTTTTGTTCACACTCTGGAAGAATGAATCTTAAGTCGGCGGCGCACATTGAGTTTTAACAAGATGCAGTGGTGGTGGGCGTCCTCACTGTGCTCCTCACCACAGGGCGTCCTCACTGTGCTCCTCACCACAGGGCATCCTCATCGTACTCCTCACCACAGGGCGTCCTCACCGTGCTCCTAACCACAGGGCGTCCTCACTGTGCTCCTAAGACAGGCAGCACACTCAGGAGCTGGTGCAAGATTCTATGCATAAGGATCTGCTGTTGATATTTTAAAACATTCTTTAAACTTTTATTAATATGGAAATAGTTTGATTATGGCATTTCCATAATTTATAAAGTAAATATTCAGACAACATGACAAGATACACAATAGGTTATTATTTAATATCACTTCACTGAGGTAAAGGAAGTTGTGCTTGTGTCTGATGGCCATGGCAGTCTGTGGTTCAGAAGAGCGTGTGTCTGTGACAATACCTGCTTCTGGAGAGGAGGGGCTCTGAAATGAGAAGGGTGTGTGGAGAAAGGAGCCTCTTTAGATAGCTGTACCTCTGTGTTGTTGGAGATTTGTAAAGAGACTCAATGGGTACTCTCACACTGGAAAGGAGCAGAATTCAGAACAGTCTCCGCAGGGATATTTAGCTCTTTATTAGATCTTTTAATTTACCCTATGAATGTTGTGCAGAAATTTAACTATTCATATTAAATAATGGATTAGCAAAGTAATAAAACAACCATGGGTGGAACTTGGGAGAAAAGGTTAAAAGATTACCAATTTGACTTGGTATAATTTAAAAGGAAAGAAAAGGAAATATGCCCCCCCCCAAAAAAAGGTATTTTCCATATTTTCCTTCAGGACACTTGGGACCTTGGGACCTGCACATTGCTGTACACAGTCAGTGTCAGGGCTGCGCCGTGCTGTGTCACAGTCCTGGGTGGGAGCAGTGACAGGGACAACTGGAGGGACTGAATGTAAACCGTCTGCACTGGAGTTGCTTCACAGTCTAAACATAGACTGTGTCATCAGTGAAAGGCTTCTCAATATTCAATTCATTGTGACAGTTCTCTTTTCCACAGGGAGCTATAGGTCTTGCATTTACAGTGCACATAATAAACTGTAGGTAGTGCATCTTGTTAGACTCAGCAGTTTCTGAGTGGGCTATACACAGATGGCATCTTACTTTCCGGGAAGAAAATGAGAAAGGAAGCTTCTCTGGGCTTCTCTGCTCTCCCTGGTAATCTTACAATTCTTGTAATAATTTTTTAGTTTTGAAAAAAACTCGTGACCATATGTCTGTTAGCACCCCGAGTTCCTCGTTGAAACATAATAGCAAATGAGCCTCTGGGAAGGATTTAAAAGGTGGCGCATTTTGTTGACGGTGCTTAGTGTTAATGTGATCCACAGGTGAGTTCAGGGGACTGAGACACACTCTGCACAAATACCAGCTCTGGAGGGTCGACTGCTGAGTGTGTAAATACGGCTTCTGCTTCAGGTCCTGGACTTGAGTCTCGTAAGCAAGAGACTATATTGTTATATAACTACTATATTGCTAACATTGGAGCTGCTGAAAGATGTTTTTAAGTGAAAAAGTTGTGCTGAAGTGTTCTTTAGCTTGGGTGTCACATAACACTACTCTTTCTCATCTGTAGGAAGGAACACAGAAGAAGAGGAGGCCGTGATGCAGGAGTGGTTCATGCTAGTTAACAAGAAAAATGCCCTGATCAGGAGGATGAACCAGCTCTCCCTGCTGTGAGTGTCCAGCCGTACACTGGCCCTTCTCAGGCTGACTGTCTGTGCCTTCTTTGGGGGTTAATCTTTTTTTCTTTCCTTAGAAAGCCAGAATATAAAAATGTTCATCTGAAAAGTAAGAATTTGCAGGTGGACTGATAAGACACTGGGGAAAAGCATGTTTTCTAAAGTCAAGGAATAAGTAACAATTTTGTGTACGAACTAGTTTTAAATTTTTATTTATTGTATGTGTGCACATGTGCACACACATGTGTCCATGTATATACATACATGAATGTGCAAACTGTAGTGCGAGTGTGGAGGTCAGAGGGCAGCTTTGTGGAGTCAGCTCCCTTCTTTCACTTTTTGTGGGTTCGGGGGAACCCATTTGGGTCGTCAGGCCTAAGGCAAGGATCTTTACCTGCGGTGCCATTCCCAGCCCCCAAATGTTATGTTTAAGAAATAAATCCTTAGTGCAGAAGAGGATTAGCTTTCACTTGGGACTAGAGGAGAACCCTCAAGGAAAGTGAAATTGAAGTTTGTTTTCTGAATTCTAAGTTTAAAAATGAAATTCTTTTTTTAAGGAAAAAAATACATTGGTTATCTATAGGTGATGTTAATATAAACTTTGGGATAAGAAATCAGTTACCTAACAGGGACTCTATTATGAGTGTAGAGGCTGAGGTTCCGTGGAGATGAGGCCAAATGCAAACACCTAGTTCATTGTAGAAGTTAGTGTTCACTCTTTCTTCTCACTAGCTGGCTGTGTGCCTAGATGATGCCTATGTCATGCATTGGTTTACCATGCTTTTACTGGAATGTAAAACCCTAATTGTAACTTCTACCTTGCCTGAACCTGGAAGAGGGTATCATGAAAACTTTGTCCGTGTATTCAGCATTCTCTCTGGTAGTACACGTGTGTTTCTTCTTTTCACGTGATGTTTTCAATAAAAGAGTACTTATTGTGAGCTATGACTATTTTACAATAGGTCCTTATACCTGACCCTTAAAACAAGCAGCACTTAGGAGTGGGCCTGCTTGCCTTTGCAGTATACCTCTGTGTCATTCAGACCGAAGGAAGAAAATAATAACACTGTAAGCTTTCAAGTGAGGAAGGGTTTCAGTCTGTATATCATTCGTTTGAGTGGCTTAAAGTTAAATAGAAAAGTCAGTTATGACTCCTGAAATCAATGTAAACTAAAGGTTCTTTAAGTGTTTAATGATTTAGTAATTAGCATATTGATGAACTTTTTACAACTTGCCTAGGGAAAAAGAACATGACCTAGAACGAAGATATGAGCTACTGAATCGGGAACTGCGGGCCATGCTAGCCGTGGAAGGTGAGAGGTGGCTGGGGTGAGGGTGGC